CTCCCTCTTTAGCTGAGAGATCTATCTGTGGCAATTATCATATCTCTGCCTCTCTTCCCAACCCACAGATTACTTCCTTCTCCAGATTTTGGTAGACTCTGAAAGCTGAGCTCTTTTTACTGTTTCTTGTATGACAATAGTTATCGGTGAGATCAGTAATTAACCCTGTGGCTGACCATTTCTGCTTCTGGATTGCTTTCAAACAGCTGTTCCACAGCAATGCAGGCTGTAGCCTTTGTCACTAAAACGACAGATACTCATTTCCAGATGAAAAGACCTGTGCTTATGCAATTTGTCATTACTATTTTATTTGCCAAATTTAGTCTATTTTTATCTGTTCACAAACATGTTTGAATTTCTAAGAACGTGCTAACTAGTGCAAACATGTGGCTCAAATTTGTTCATGCTAATGATGGGCTCTGCTCGATAACAATTCAAAGCAGTGTGGATTGACACATGCTCATTTTCATCATCTGAGTCAGATGCCACCAGCAGAAGGCTGATTTTCTGTTTTGGTGGTTTAGAGTCTTTAGTTTCCATACCAGAGTGTTGCTCTTTTAAGACTTCTGAAGGTATACCCCACACCTCATGCCTCTCAGTCTTTGAAAGGCACTTCAGATTCTTAACCCTTGGGTCGAGAGCTGTAGATCTCTTTAGACATTTCACATTGGTCCCTTCTTTGCATTTTGTCAAAACTGCAGTGAAATGTTCTGGGTCATCATCTGAAATGTATGGCAAAATATGGGTAAAACATAGCAGGAGACATACAATTCTCTCAATGAATTCAGTCACCAATTTAATTAATGCATTATTTTTTCAAGGAAGCATCATCAGCATGAAAGCATATCCTTTGGAATGGTGTCTAAAGCATGAAGGGGTGTGAATGTGTAGAGTATCTTGTACATACATACCTTGGAATGCTGGCTACAAAAGTGACATGCAAACACCTGTTCTTATATTCAGATAACATTGTAAATATGAAGTATGCGGAATTATCTCCCATAAGCGTAAATTAACTTGCTTCTCTTAGTGATTGGCTGAACAAGAATTAGGACGGAGTGGACTTGGGGACATTGTGTTGTTTTTAAGTGCAGTTATGTACCAAATTTCTACATTTGTAAGTTGCACTTTCACAATAAAGAATGCACAATGGTACTTGTATAAGGTGTATTGAAAAACACTATTTCTTTTGTTTATCATTTTATGGTGCAAATATTTTTATTGTAGTTAAATATAAAGTGAGCACTGTATATTTTGTATTGTGTTGTAATTGAAATCAATACATTTCAAGATGTAGAAAACCACCCAAAAATATAATAAATTTCAATTGCTACTCTATTAAACACTGCAATTAAAACTAAGTAATCATGATTAATTTTTAAAATAGTGATTAGTTTGAATGAATTATAAGTTAGCTGTGATTAATTGACCACCCCACTTAAAAGTATAACCAGGCTGAAATGAACAATATTTTTTTTTCAAAAGTGCAATCAATTTAAGATCCTCATGATGTCTTCACACAGTGCACAGTAAACCTGTGGAACTCTTTGCCAGAGGATATTGTGAAGGCCAAGATGGTAACAGGGTTAAAAAGAGAGAAATTCATGATGATAGGTCCATCAATGGCTATTAGCCAGGATGGGCCCCGATAGCATCTCTAGCTTCTGTTTGCCCAAGGCTGGGAATGGGCGATAGGAGAGGGACTGCTTAATGATTACCTGTTCTATTCATTCACTCTGGGGCACTTGGCATGGGGCACTGACAGAAGACAGGATACTGGGCTGATGGACCTTTGGTCTGACCCCGTATGGCTGTTTTTATGTTCTTTTCCAAAGACACATGTAAAAGAATCTTAAATAATCTATGTTCAATCTGTTTTCTCCAGTTGCAGTTGAGAACAAATATAATATAGCTTGCTTTGACAGAGAAGTTGCTTGCTCTTCTCTGGTTTCCTGTTAGGTAGTTAATTTTAAATCAGTACAGAATTTAAATCACAAACTTAGATTTTTATGTAAACACACACACACTTATAAATGTAAGTACTGAATGGAGCCAATATTGCACTATGACAGATTGCATTTGTTCTCCTCGTGCCTCCAGTGACGGAAAGACAAATGTGAAGTGGTTCATGAAGAAACAGATAATCAAATGCATAAATACACAGCTCAGTTGTGCCCTTGAAAAGAACACTTCACCCTATTTATATACCAACATAGAGAAGCTGCTTTGGTCAGTCAGGGATGACTTTTAAAGGATCTGCACAGTGTTAAAACAAAATCTCTCAGGCCCAGATATGTTGGTCACCCATTCTGTTTTAAGCTATTTGCCTATATCTGTAGTGTATATAATATACCTTATTTGTAGATGGTGATATCTTTGTGATAAAGTGGTATATTCATACAGCGTCTCCATCTCTGTGGGACATCTAGCTTTCCAGACTTTTGAGCACCTTCATGCTGTTGCCTTTTCCAGATATTATTTCCTGATATAATTTCCTGATATTATGTATAGAGAAGCTGAAATTTCTAAAATTAAGTATATTTTCAGACCCAAGATAATTAAGGGTTATGGGCTTAAGCGGTAGAGGAGTATGAAAAACAATGCCTATAAAATGTTTTAAATTCTCTTTTAAGATTTTTTTCCCTATAACACATGGCATATGCAAAACACATGATGGTTTGTGTAACATACATCATGTATTGTTCTTCATGTGGGATAACCCACATAAATCATTTGTGACTATGAGTTTCACCACTCATGAGTAATTCCAAACACATACTGTAAAGACCTTTATAGCCCACTGTCTTGTCTCTCTCGTTCACTCTGCTTGAATGTCGGCATTTTACAATGGGGGAAAAAATGGATAAAGAGGTTAAAGCAATGGACTCTAAATAAAAGGAGAAGAGTAAAGAAAGCTATCTGCTGGAAAATTTAGGGAAGACTGCATTTTTATTATTTGTCTACAGTAGTGCCACAAGGTCCAACTGGGATCAGCCCATTGTACTAATAGATGGTAAGAAATAGGCCCTATCCCAAGTAGCTTAAAACAGACAACAGAAAAAGGATTGGAGTGGAAGACACAGAAGAACTGCTCCAGCAGGTCAGTAACAGAGGTGGGAATATAGAATCTTATTCACTGTAAATGCATATTATCAGACCTTTAATGTTAAATTCCACTCAAGATCCGATAGGCTTCTAGAAATGATCTTGCTCTAGGCTAGAGTATTCAGACAGTGATGCCAGGACATTTAAAGTATTTATATACATTTTCCAGACTAAGGCCATAATGCAGAAAGAGAGTAGTCCCACTGAAGTCACTATGGTTTTCAGTATGTTTAAAGTTGTATGCCTTACTGACAACAGGCCTACAAGGCCCTATGCACACACAACTTACAGGACTGTGAGACTTATTTACAAACAGTAACAATGATTGTCAGAAGCCACAAGAGTATCTTATTGTTCAAGAGTTGGTGGTTGAGAAATATCTATCTTCCACAAGAGAATAACAATAGAGAAATATGGTGGAGCTCAATATATAAAGCACTTGAAAACAAAGCAGAAAAGGGAAAAAAACACCACTTGAATTGTTCATCTATTTCTCTTCTGACTTACAAACACATAGGTACTTGCTTATAGAAAATATACCAAATGCAAATGGCAAAATTGGGAGGCATGATTCCAAAAGTTAGACATTACAAAAGTAGTGGAGTTTTAAGTGCAACAGTTGCTATATAAAGTCAGTACCTTATTAATTAAACAAATTGGATACACTTTGTGCTAAGCTGGGGGGAACCAAGGAAACATTTTCATATTCCCTTTTCAAATTCCACCCACCAACCCCAACACCTGAGGCATCCATATACCAGCTGGTAATTGAACTGGAGAATATTTGCAGAGCCAGAGCGTGAGGATCAGATATAATTACTTCTGCCATCCTCTGGCTGTATTTTCTTATGCTGATTAATGCCTGCATTTTATATAACTTGTGTTGTGTAAATAACCCTGTGGCCTTTCCTTTGCCTTGCTGGTTGGTGGCTCTGAGCTAATGAATGGAAGAGGTGTCTGGACAGTGGACCTGGGGGTCTGGGCTAATGCTAATTTTTCTATTGAGATGCCTGCTCCTGCTGCTGCTGTTGCTGCCACCACTTCTTTTAATTGATCGCTGCTGCCTGCATGGGTGCAAAGTTATCCATCCTTCTACGCCCTGGCCTCAGCCCCGCCCCCGGCAGCACGTTTTCTCCACCGAGGCTCGCCTGTCCCACTCCTCGCCCGTTCTGCGGGTTATCCCTTTCGGGCTGTACTTCGGAGCCACCATCTCCTAGCATTACCAATGGAGCTGTACGGAAAGGTAAGGCAGAGGGGCAGCCCTTCCCAAACAATTCAGCGTCTCCTTAACCAGTGGGGCCCTCTGTTGTCTTGCCAAAGTATCCAGCCAAATAACTGAGTTTTGTTTAAGAAGCTGGGGCGAGAGGGGGCAGACCCGAATCCCCTTGGCCGGCTGAAATCCGATCACCTTGGGAAGCAACGTATAAACTCTCCAGGCTGAGAGTGGTAACCACGGTGCCTTGTAGGGAGAGGATTATGGTGGGGGGAGACTAAAGTGTCACGTGTAGCGCTGGCTCCCTAGCACGGCTGGACCCCTTGCTGCCCTGCTACTGGGTTTCTCATCCCACTCTGTCACTTCCAGCGTCCAGCTGGGAGAGGAGTTTGCAGCGCTCCCCTTGGCTGGGCACGGCCTCCTGCTGCACCAGGCTGCTCCTGCTCTGCCTTCCCCAGCGCTTCTGCACGCGGGGCAGGGGGAGGAGGAGGTAGGCGGAGCCGGGGACACGGGGAGGGAGGCAAGGGCCGCGAGGAGCTTCTTGGGAGCTGTAGTTCGTACCCTTCCCGGCTTGCCCGGGCTCGCAGCCGCGGAGGGAGCAGGGAGGACTACAGTTCCCATGGGCGGCCACCGGGGCGCCCGGCCATCCGTGGGAGCGGCCGGGGGGACAGCTCCGGTGCTGATCCCGCCGCCGGTTTGTTAGCCAACGCCGGCGGAGCGCGCGGGGCGGGCTGTGGCCGCACTCGCTGCTCGGCTGGACTCACCCGGCGCCGGGAGCCAGCGGCAGGACGCGCGGCCGAGGATGCGCCACGAGGCTCCCATGCAGGTAGCTCGCCGAAGGGACGCGAGTGGCTAATGAGCAGCTGCTTCCCCGGCGGCGCTCGGGGCGGGGGGGTCGCGGGGGCCGGCCGCAGCCGAGGAAGTGCGGTGGCGTTGGCAGACCTTGCGCTGCTGCGCACAGCAGGCACCGAGCCCGGGGCTGGGAGCGAGCGTGTGTCGCTTCTGCGGCGGGCAGGAGGCGCAGCCCGACTCGCCTTCTCCCGAGGCTCTCCCCTGCCCTACCTGCCCCGTGCTTGGCCGCCGCCTTGCACCAGGGCACGCTCGCCTAAGGGCGATCCCCGCCTGCCCGCTGGCCAGGCTTGGGCCAGCTGCCGGGCTAATTCCCATTCCCGGAGATGCACCACAACCCCAGGGCACACGCCGTCTTGCTGCCAGAGCCGTTCCCGGGCCCAGACGGCGCTCGCTGCTGGCGGAGCAGAGCAGCGGGCAGCTGTGCGCGTTCTAGCCCCGTGGGCAATGTTGTCCTTTTGTGCCACGCACACGGGAAAGCCCTCGCTACTGAGCGGCTGCCAGGGCTTCGTTTTCCATCCACATGTCCTTCTGGCTGGGTTGCCTTTTAAGGGGTATGGTCCGTTATGTGTGCTGCATTAGGAAGTGCTTCAATCTCTTCCCATATTAAGCTCCATTGTGAATGAATCTAAGCTCCTCAGTAAGTGAATTAATTCAAAGTTTTTTTGGGGGGGAGGGGGTGTTATATGCAGTGAGTTCTTATCTCAAAGTTAAGTAGAAAAGGCTGTTAATTAACTGGACAGTTGTCTATTTGCATCAAAGGATAGAATTTGAGATAAGAACAGGG